TGTATTTTTAAATGACAAAAAAAGGAATTTGAGCGAAATCGGTTGAAAAGTTCAATCAAATTTCGTAAAAGTCGTATTTTTTAAATTCAATTTTGCTGGAACTATACAACCGATTTCGCTCAAATTTTGTATTTTGACATGTAAATACATTATTCAAAACAATGTAAAAATTGTAACCCTCTCAATTTAAAATATTTTTGAATATTAATAAAATCAATAATAAATATTGACAAAGTTATATTTTACATTCAATTTGCCTTAGCTAAACGAATTTTTTTTTATAATTGTATGCAAACATGTTTAAATTTGCTTAAAAAGTTATCCACTACTGTTCTAAAAGTCATCTCTCTACTGACCAAACTATTGTGACCATTTTTTTCCAGATTGCGGCTACCCCTAATAATGTGGGCGTCAGAAATCCGAATCAGTAGGGGGAAAAAGACATGTTTATGTAGAGAAAGTATGTTCTTGTGTCTGATTTCGTAACTTAAAATATCGTCTGCACTATTTAATATCTTGTTACCTCCTTGAGCAATTAGGTTTGAGTTCTAGAACATAAAGATCCGATCATTAGTTATTCAGGGTGGTTCATTTATTCATGGTAATACAGGTATGGTAAGGATCTGTATATTTCGCGTAAACGTTTGCCTCATGATGTTAATTTAAACTTTTTAATGACAAATAATTTGTGCTAAAAATTATTTTTCATTAAAATACTTTATAGAACCTAGTTTTAGTTGTTTTGCTTGTTAATCTATAATTTGAATATTAAAAATGTCATAGATGTCCCAAAAATTAAGCAGGAAGAATTTCGATAGGGAAAACGCAGGTTTTTAATTAAAATTTAGAAAAAATAGATTTAGTACGTTATCCAGAGAAAGTACGTTTCAGTACCGAATTTCGTAACTTTATTCAAATTCAATTCTAGTTATCTGTATATAAATTTTTTTCTTATTTTTAATTTCGTCTTCATTTGCAGGAGTTAAAAATTGGTTCATTTGACTTGTAGTAAACACGTTAAGGATTAAAGATACACATCTAGTGAAACATTTTTTATTCAACAAAGATATATATTAGTAACAGACATAATTAAATCTACGAGCCATTATTTTCTTAAAAATAAGCACTATAAGCATTTCCTTTAATTCTTATATTCATAAACTTATTTGTAAATTGTGGAAATAAAATGTATGCAAAAATAACGCTAACATAGAAATAAAATACTTTTCTTTTTATAAAATAAAATATAAAAATTGGTTTAAAAATAAAACAAATTGTGAGCATTTCAATTTACAATAAATAATGAGCACCATTTTGTAAACACATAAAACTCTATTAGAAGTAAATAGAAATTTCTAATAAAACTTCAATTTATATATTAATAAGCATAAAAAAAGGGAAAAAATTAAACATGTTTGACTTTGCAAAGCTTAGTCTAAAGAACAAATATTATTTTAAAACCTATCGCTTTTTTTCTTTTAATTAAAATATTTCAATTCAATGTAAGAATTCTGTTCCCAAGTTATTGAAAACTGTATTTTTTTCCCTCAAAACATTTCATATTAATAATAAAATTTTCTATATAACTTTTAACAAACTATATGAATTTTATATAAGAAAATACATGAATAATATGACAAATAAAAAAGTTGTGCACACCAATAATTTTAATGTATGAGATCTAACAAAGAAAACTAATCAATTAAAACATCTAGCTAAATATTGTTTACAATTCAAGATTGCATTATAGCAAGGCAATAAATTATTGTATGCTGTATTTCAAAAAATAATATGTAACAATATCATCTAGCATTTCTATGTTTCAGAAAACTTCTTGAATAAAAAACTATTTTTATAATAAATTATCTATATTATAAGTAATAAAATCACACCATTACTAAACAAATATTTTTAAGCGCTAGATAATACAATATTAAAGAGTACATTAGGTACATCAAAATAAGCAACAATAAGAGTTAAAGTGTACCCAATCCACATACAAGTATTTATCTTGAGGATGTTATACATCGCGACAATCATGTTCCAGCACAAAATATTAACCCTCCAAGTGTTGCCCCGGGTAAAATTGTACAGAAATTTTCCTGCCATGCACTATTTTTCCATTCAATGACAAGGAGAAGTCTGTTTTTAACCGCAGAAAAAGCCTACATCTGAAAATTCGAAAAAAAACCGGGACTATAGCTCAGAAGATAAATAGTGATAGCTTTTTGAATTGTGATAATTTTTGACAATAAGACAGTTTTAACCACAGTTTAAACCATCGAGCCAAAAACACATTAAAAACTGCAAAAGCTCATATAGTATATTTATTTAATACTATAAACGTGATTGCCAATAATTTTATTCAAGATATCTATAAAAAAATGGCAGATGGTAAATATGAACTATTTTTTTCATAGAAAACATTAAATACGTATACAATGATTTATATAAAAATTCATGCTCAAAAAATTAAATTGCGTTGTAAAAATAATGTCTTTGAAATTATAATGATTGTTGAAATTGTTAAATGTGATTTATTTTAACAAAATCTTAAACTAGATTTTTTTTTTTTGTTGCTACATCTTAGATAGTTGAAATTTCTTTCCACTATTTTAAATTGTTTTAAACACTTTAAACCTTTATGAATAAAACTTTAATAGGAATGGCCAGTAAATCTATAATACTCATGCAAGGTGAAGAATTTCATAACAGCAATGAGTATAAAAATTATTTTGCTAATAAAATAAAGATTTCAGCAATGCATAATTATCCAGTGTTGACTATGTTTCCAAAGCTTGCAATTTTGAGGAATGCCTAGAAATTTAATTAAGATTAAAATAATAAAAAAATCTAAGCATTTATAGATTAAACATGGCTGAACTATAAACACCAGTTTTTAATATTATTTATGTTTTTAGTTGTATCCATACACTACATTAATTATGGCAATGATTGATCAGATATATTTTCATAGAATATTTTTAAACATAAATGATACAAAACAAAGTATAATTCCCTAAACAGTTTGATAATAAATAAATAGTAATAAGAGAGCTTAAACAGTATAATAAATAAGACATTTTGAAAATTGTTTCTAATCTAAACTAAAGTTACTAAAGCATTAATTCATTTTTTAATTAGATATTAATTTATTTTTTTTATACATTAATTAAAACACTAAAACAACAATTTATTTTTTAAAATTTACAAACATAATTCCTAACTTATATTTGGTTTCAAATCTATTCAGAACCTTTTTCATTTTAAAGTATTGAAAATAAAGAATTAAAAGGAATTTTCTTTCTTTTTTCATAATTGAGATATATACTTACAATTAAAATTTGTGAGTATATATATATACTTACAAGTCTTCGAAAATGAAAAAAAAAACATTAAAATTAAATAATTTAAGTGCTTGATAAAAATATGCATTCAAATAGGTTAATTAAAACAACACAAGAATATCACATAAAATCAATAAAAGGGAAACATGCGAGATCACTAGCAATGCAAAATAGTAAATAAAAAAATATATATACAATACAAGCTAAAAAAAATATCACTTTTTCAGTACAAACAAAACACCAACTAAGGAGTTTACAAATGAGACTAACAATATGGAAATGTTACTTTAATCAGTGTTTTCACTACAAAGCGAGAACGCGAGAATCTCGCATATTTTTTCTTTTCTCGCATTAAAAAATGATTAACGCGAGAAGTTCTCGCACTCTATTAATGAATTTCAAAATGAGCGAATCTCGCGAATTTTGGAAAAAATTTCGTCTTCCACTATTTTAAATGAAATACGTTTCTCAATCCTTAATCCCTTGATCTTTCCTTATTTTCAACATCGGTCATTGTTATCAAGCTTTCCTATTTACCAGTATTGTTCAGAACCAGTGCGAACAGCAGAACACAATGCCTCCCACCTCCGAAACCCTTTCAGAACACATTTCTCTTCAACCACGTGTTAACCGTAGGTAAGGTTTGTTCATGTAAGACGTTTAAATTTTTTGAGCTTGAATGTAAGATGGACAAATACCTTGTTAAGGCAACATTTTCTAGTCCATAACGCACAAATGAAAAGGAAACAAATGTCGGTAGGAACGGTCAAAACAAAACAAGTACGGATATTCAATGGATACGAATCAAATACTAGCATGAAGTAAGAACATGAAAATAACTTCGCTATTCTATAGCAGAAATAATTGAAAAGCCTATGCTGGCAGGTGAAGAGGATAGGAAAGTGTGTGCACAATGCTACAAATTTGCTTAGTGGTTCCGAATAGTTCAGCATCTGTTGCATCCAAAACCGAATTAAGACAAAATATACTAACAGATTGACTGATAAGCATTTGAGCAACCTAATGAGAATAGCTGATGAAAAAGTAGATATAGAACATTTTCCATGTGATAATGCAGCAAAAATATTCAATGCTTTAAAAATTAGAAGATGTTAAAAATGAAATATTTCTTTTCCAAGTCTATTCGTGTTTTTTTCATTTTTAGAAATCTCACCTAACTTTTTGAAATCTCACCCAGTTTTTGAGAAAGGGTGAGAAATTCTCACCCACTTTTTTTCTGTAATGAAAACACTGCTTTAATGAATAAAATTTAAATCAAATATACACTGTTTTGAGGTACTTAAATGACTTTAAAACATTAAATGATACAATAAAATTTATAGGAAAAAATTATATATAAACATTACATTCAAATAATTTAATATTTGATAAAAGAATACTAAAAAATGTTAAAAAATTATTTTACATATGCTCAATAAATTTTCGAAAACTTTACAATACACGGCATGGATTTTTTTTCTGTAATATTATAAAGCAAATGAAACATGTTCTCAGTTATAAAAAAAAAAATTTTTAAACACATTTTTACTTTGAAAATTATCAATATTTCTTCACATTGAAAAACTAATAATGACTAATTCAATTATACAAGCAAATCAATGATATTTAATTTAGAAAAATTCAGATTCAATATTAAGTTGAAATACTTATTTAATAACACAAAAGCAGGGAACAGCTATATTGAAAGCTACACACAATTAAAGGTACTCTAATAAACAGCAATTAAAAATTAAAAAAAGAAAAAAACTGGCATTAAAAAAGTAAACATCTTGAGGAAGTGATTCTTATGAACAATCTTAAAACTAGATATTTTTGAAAGGTAACATCACTGTTTTCACTCATATATGTAAAATATTTTTTACCAATACATCAATATTAATACAAAAATATTCATAAACAATAATTTTTTAACAGATGTCAGTTAATACTCTTGATGAAGTTCAAAAACAAACAATAAGAAAAGAACAGAAAAAGAAAAACATGAATACTGATATCTTTTTAAGCTAATAAACAAATCAGATTTTGAAATCATTATGCATTGAATTATAATTTGTTTTCCTTTATCAATATTTCTTGATCATAAAAAATTTGTAATAAAGTTTTTTTAATGTAATCTAAGAATTCAAATTTAATTTAACAAGTAAACACTAGTTAACAAGAACATATTTCCCATAACATGAATTTACAATCAACATTATAGAATCAAAACAGCTTACTTTTAAAAGAAAGCAGTACCTCTGGAATAAAGGAACCCAAGAAATAGTGCCAAGCACAATAGGCATTGAGAGAAATATAGCATAAACCTTTTTTTTAAAATCAAAATCATAAAGTTAAAAATTAACAATGAATAAATAAATTACTATTTATAATCTGGCAATTTTAAATAAGTTGCTTACATTACATTATGCTTATGAAAATCAGTTATGTTTATCTATAAACATTATACGATTGAAAATTAAGGAAAAAATTGCAGTTAAAGAATATGCTGGTCAATAAGCCTATTGGTGTCCCGTAGAATACAGAAATGGTGCAATAAAGATTTTTGAAGACTATATAACAACATATCAATTAGGATAGTTCTCCAATGGGAGCATTTTCAAGCCATAATTTGTGCATGAAACGATAGAGGTCATCAGAGACAGATACCTTATATGGAGTTGGGTTTAAGTTTCTTTTAATGTCTGAACGTAGTGTAGCTAATGAATCTTGAACTCGTTGCCGGATTTCAGACAGAACAGGTAGATAAGTACAAATCTTGCCTTCACTAAAACAAAGTTCATACAAGTTTAACACATTCTCTGGCTGGACATAAGCTCGCTTGGATTCCTGAAATGGATGACGAACGAGAACTTTATCACCGACCCGAGGTGCAGGTTCATCTTTCATTTGCAGCAAGTCGACAAGCGCATGACCATCTTTACCGAACAATCTATAAACAGTCTTTGAGGCTGGAATTGTAACTTTTTCTACATCTAAACTCAACTTGATGCAGGGTTTTGAATTAACTTCAACAAGCTTGTAGACGCAACCCAAAGCAGGTTGCTTTTGACACGTCACTAAGTGGGTGCCGATACCAAAGCACTTAATTTTGTGGCCTTGTTCATTAAGAGATATGATGGTCTCTTCATTGATATCATTACTTGCAACAATGCTCATATGCTTGAACCATGGAACTTTAAAGTGTTCTCCTAATTTACAAAACATATCAAAGGCAATATTAGACAAATAAGCCAAATCTCCACTGTCAATTCGGACACCAATCGCTTGGTAACCAAGATCGTTAAGCGCTAAAGCCACTGCACAGAAATTCAATAAACCACTCTTTTTCACATCATATGTATCAACTAGAGCTAAAAAGCTATTGGGAAAAGATATAGCATAAGCAATGAAAGCCGCCAATTCACCATCACTCGTTTCACCACTCAAGCTTTTCAAGACAGTAATTATCTGAGATCGATACATTGTAGAAAGATCAATTAAATCTACCTCCTGACCATCTTTGTTACTTTTCAATGTCTTCAACCTACAATCCTTTAGTGATGAATAGGACATAACAAAGGCATGGGCATGAGTCCCTTTGACAGGAATATCATACATTTTTCCTGCCAAGAGATTGCTGGTACCATCAAAGCCACCAACATAAACGTATTTTGAGGCTGACAACCCTCCATCCGGTCCTTGCGCTCTTCTTAGACCATATTCAAGCAATTGCAAATCAGACCCTGCAGCAATTCTGTAACGTGCAGCATTAGTAGCAACTAAACTAGCAAAGTTGACTAGAGTAAGAAATGAAGTTTCCAACAATTGAACTACAGGCAAAGGGCCTTCAACTTTAATTAGAGGTACACGAGGAAATACTACAGTACCTTCAGGAATTGCATAGAGCTTTACATCTTTTGCTGTAAGGTCAGCAAGAAACTTATAAAAAGAAGGCTCCACAGTAGCTGGAAGAACACTTTTCAAATAATCTATATCACTCTCTGAATAACGAAAATTTTCTAAAAATTTAAGGCACTCCTCCAATCCGGCGAATACAGTAAATTCTCCATGAAAAGGATTTTTTCGAAAAAATAAATCAAATACAGCATTATCCCCGCATTTATCACTTTTCCAGTAAGCATAAGCCATGGTTATTTGATATAAGTCTGTTAAAAGAGGTTGGACTATTCCATTCAATTGAGGAAGTTTGCGCTTTTCCATCTCTGACATTTTAGCTAAGTAGTGATATCAGTATAATACAGAGATATTTATCATTCTCCTTTCCAAAACAAGAACTATAATCTAAGCTGTCTTACAGGACCGGTGACAGCGAAAACTATTATTCACATATATGTTGTTGCCAATACTGTTTTAAGTAAAATTAATTTTACTAAATTACTGCCAAATAAATGAAATTTAAAAAAAATTACAGTCAAACAGCCTCCGAGTTAAACACTGTTTTTCAAACTGCTTCCTTCAATGAATATTTCTTCAAATATTCATTAGAGAACAACAATTGTTTCAATTTTACCGCGTGCTCTCACCGCGAATGTTTGCAGTCCATTTCGTGAGCTATGGAACTTTTTACTCCTTCGTAACTCCTTCCATGACTAAATCTGATTGATAAAACCGATAAAACTCAAATCAAAACAAATGTCAAAAACTTAAATATCAATGTCATGATGGATATACCGGAGCGCCACGAACGGAAAGAAATATAACAAAAATGTATTTTTATTTTTATAAATATTATTAATATAACTAATTAGGAAATTAGGCAATAAGATTACAATTATCCATTAAAACTTAATAAATTTGATAATTTCATACTCCAGAAACTTTTAAACTCTCCTCATGAAGTTTTGAAGCCTGTATTTATTAAGCTCTGATTGGGTGATAGAGGCGATGCTTTTGTTTGATTGGATAAAATCAGAAGTTATTTGATAGTAATTTTTTGCAGGACAAGACATCTCAACGCCTTAACATTGCATGCACCGACAGGAGCGACGTGGTCTGTGGACAAATTACAACGTGAAATCATAAATCTAACGACAAAAAGAGTTAAGATTGCGGCAAAATGGTATAGTTTTTATTAGTGTTTTAATTTAATTATCTTAACTTTAATTTAATTATTTGTACAGATCTTTAGCTATACAATGCTTTCTACTTTCATTTTAACATCCTGTTTGTTTTAAACTGTTAAGCCTAAAAGCATGTTAAGATGGTAATGTTATTATTCAAAGCTTAAGTATGTGATTAATTTGATACTCAAATTCATAGATTTATATTATAATGAGTTATTTGTATAACTCATTATAATTAGATTAATGATATCTGATAGAGAAATAGAGGCTATGCGTAAGCCGTAGGATCTCGTCTCTCACACCATGTGTGTCCTATTAAAGTTTAATGTTCCAAATTTATATTTATTCCTTAATTTTATGAAATTAATTTCTTTTGGATTGTTCGTTAGACTTCTAGTTAAACTTCACAAAAAATAGCTATAAGGTTTAGAATTCACAATTCTTTTAAATTGTAGTGATTGATTTTGCAACTGTATGCAGTGTATTACAGGAAATATTAATTTTTAGGCCTATATGTTACTTAAATCACTTAATTAAGGCTTTCTATTGTGACTGGCTTATTTTCTTTATATTTTTTTTTTCAATTGTCAGGGGATATTTCAGTACCAAACATAATCTGTTGTGCTAGTGTACCAAATTGGAAAGATTTTAAACTTGCATTGATATTTTTTTTTAAAAAAAAAGCATGTAGAACACAACCCTATGCCTATAGTTGGCTAGAGATTTATGCTCTTTGATTTGATCCACTTTTGTGGTCTTATTTTACTTTCTCACAGCTGCTGCTTGGAAGTTGCCAAGATTTAGCAATTATTCTGCTACAGATCAGGATACAGTAATATTCCCCATTTCTAACACATTAATTGAATAGATTAGCTGTGTCAGTCTTAGAAAGAAGTCAATTTCACAACATGGGGCCTCTTTCTTTCAATTAATGCTAAAGTTGTAAATTTTCTTTATAGGCAGTTGCTGCTCATAGACCAGTAGTTACTGTATATAATGAAAATAATGAGCCTGGCACCACTGGTGTGGCCCTCCCTGTCGTCTTTAGGGCTCCAATACGTCCAGACATAGTTAATTTTGTTCATATGAACATGGCAAAAAATCGAAGACATCCATATGCTGTTTCAAAAGAAGCTGGTGAGTATATCTTTATAATTGCTCCTCAATCTTTTATTTTCTCTTTTATATACGTTCTTATTATTTTATATTACATCATCAGTACCAGAAATTTTTAGAGTAATTGAGATTCAAGTAAAAGTTAATCTGACTCAAACCCTAGAAATTTTTAACCTTATATTCCAAAAAAGTACATTTCACACTTTAGTTTGCAAATATGCTAATAAATAATATTAAAATCATAAAACAAATTTCCAAACAGACAATCACTTAGTGTAATTTTGAGATTCTTTTTTAAGTGCATATATAATTAATAGATCAGCTCAAGATGTTAAGTTTGAAACAAATACTAACTATACAGATTGATGTATTTACATATCCATTACTTCTGTGTTCTGTGTTCTTTTTAATTAAATTTCTGAAAAGCACAAGAAATTGCAGTCAAAAGTTTTAGATACTAATTCACAATGTAATGAAGTACAAAAATTATTTTTTTAAATATACTATTTCCCAGACTAATGAGTGTTACAGTTTCAGATGATATTTGAAATTAGGCTCCTTTTAACCAGTAAAATACGTGCTTTAGAATTCATGTCTAATGTATAACAGCAACAAATCTTATTTGAATTAAATTAGTGCTTTTAAAAAGTTCAATTTCTTAACCATTTGGTTTAAAAACAAATGGTATTAAGAATATTTAATAAAAAAATTATTGAATTTTTTTAATTGGATGGATTTTTAATCCATTTTTATACATGATTAAAATAAATTTTTCATCTGTCATTTTTATATATTTGTTTATGTGATAATTGGAATCAGAATTAGGAATAAGTGAAAATTTAGCAGGTTATTTACTAATTTTAATTTAACCATGTAAAGTGTTAAGATAATGTATTACTATTTATAGAAAACAATTTTTGACATTAAAGATAAGTTAAGAATAAAAAAGTTACAGTTCAGTTACTCTCCTGCATCTATTAGTATCTTGCACTGCAATTTCTTTTTCATTGTTATAATTATTTTAAAAGTGTTAATTCTAATATCTTAAACATAGAAAATTATCTTACTTATTGAATCTTTCATCGATTATCTTATTTAAGAAAAAAATCTGTTTATTTACAATTGCTTAATTTAGTTTAGATGTTGACATTGCATAGTGCATCTTACATAGTAATGTTTTTTTTTTATGTATCATTTATTTTTATTAGATATAAATTTATTTTTTGAAGAAAATTTTTTATTCTGGTTTTCTATGTAAATTAACCTAAAATTGTATTTTAATAAAATTAAAAAAAATTTCCCTGATAATTTTATATCAAGTTGTTTTTCAATAATAAAAGTTACTTTTAAATTAAAATATAAGTAAATTTTTAAGCACAAATCTTTGTCTGCTGTAGGTATCATGCTTTTGCAGATGACAATCTTGTGCGAAATGAAATTCACTCTGAACCATGGTCAGACTTAATATAGTCTTGCACACTGATTGAGTTGATACAAAGTCAGATCTATTAATGATTTCTGCTGCTTATTTTATGACTGATTTATTCTAAGAAATTTGACTGTTTTATCGTGCACTGGGGGGGGATATGTCTTTATTAAGCAAACATTTGTTTAGGGTATTTTTCAAAAAATTGTCAGTGTAGTATATAAGATCAATTTTAGGGTACCTTTAGATAAGTGACGGCCAGCACTGTTAGTAGCCTGACCCCACGTTGGTGGCTCGGAAGTGATCTGACCATGCCTAACCTCATTTGTCACGACCACGTCGATTAGAACATTCCTCTTTTGACAGATAGTCGGCACTGAACAGTTGACTTGCTATTTGTATGTGCGATGTTTTCCTCTCACTGTTGCTTCTATAGCTCAATCACACACTTTAAAGCATGTCCACGCTAGACTATTACTAGCGTAGCTATCCTTGGTACAACTATTAAATCCCCATTCACTAGCTAGTATGACATGTCAACAGTATCCTATTAAGAGGTACCTTTAGATAGGTGGCAGTGACATTGTCTGTAGCCTAAATTTACAATCCGTTTCAGTCTTTTACATTTTAAATATTTTAAAAAAATAGATGGTAGGGCAGATGTAATAAAAAAAGCCTTATTTGTAGACAGCTTATGTTTAATGCCAACAAGACTTTCAAGCGAACACAAATATTTTATATATAAGGCAAGGAAAATGGAGCTTATTAAGAATTAAAATAAAACTAAAATATTAATCCTAAACAATTAAATGATATTGTTAAGAAATAAACTAAAACAAGTTAAGCAGTTTTTGTGTATCTTGGCAGTAAAGTTACGAACAGAGGAAGAACTGGTAAATATATAACTAAATAGATTAAGCAAACCCTGAAACAGTTATGCTTTTCTCAATAAATTCTGGAAAAACAAATTAACAAGAATTAGACTACTACTAAATACGACTACGGCAAAAATTAGAATTTTAGTGCTAGATCTGTCCTAAGTTAATATGAGTCGTGGCATTGTTTTAAAGATAACATGGAAAAACTTCATTAACAACTGTTTAAGAAGAATCTTGCTTATCAAGTGGTTCCATAAAATTTGTCATGCGAAAATCCTTAGAAAAGCAAAACGGAAACCAATTGATTTAGAAATGAATTGTCATGTTCTGTGCAAACACGAAAAATTTAATGTAAAACAATTTTTTGATTGGAACCTTCAGGGTGATAGAAATAGACCTGAACAAATAATTGGTGCGTGATGACTGTAAATCAGTCAAAAACAATAGGAAATGCATGGAAATCTGTAAAATATCTGGCCAGAGTAATTATTTTGTTTAATAAATTTTTGATTTTATTTAATTGTTAGTGTTTTAATAGTCTATTAAGATATATAAGTTTTGACTAATTATGTATTACTTTTTAGGCCATCAAACTTCTGCTGAATCTTGGGGTACTGGACGAGCCGTAGCTCGAATTCCTAGAGTCCGTGGTGGTGGAACTCACCGTTCTGGTCAAGGTGCTTTCGGTAACATGTGTCGTGGCGGTCGTATGTTTGCACCAACTAAGACATGGAGGAGATGGCATCGCAAAATAAATGTTAACCAACGTCGTTATGCTGTATGCTCTGCCATTGCAGCAACTGGCGTTCCAGCCCTGGTCATGTCTAAAGGTATGATATTGTTTCATGTGTATTAAGTTGTCAATATATTACGAGCAATTAAGCAGATTTTTAAAGAAAGTTTTTTTTTATGAAGAAAAATATGATATAAAAGGTAATATTGATATTGGTCAGACTCATAAGGTTTGATTAAAAAAAAGTGTCCACTAAGTTATCTACCTGCCACTGAATGTTAATGGAAAGTTTTAAATTTTGACGCTTGGTTATAAGAATAAATTTCCTATGTAACATGTTATTTTATTAGATTATAATAGTTTTAGTAGGTTTTTTTCATATAGGGTGACCCGGGGTAATTCACGATCACTCTGTTTCTGGGGTAAATAATGATCACCTAGTGTGGGCCTACTGTTGAGATTAAAAAAATGAGATAATATTGAATAATCATTTAAAAAAAATACTATGATTACGCAAATATTTTTACACTCTACTTTTGTCTCAAGACTTTTACAGGTACAAAATAGTAAAAATGGTGGAAAAATACAGTTTGAATTTTATTCAAATTGGTATAGTAATTGTTTTTTAGTCCTATTTTATTAAAATACAAATGAGCAAATCATAATGAATTGCAAAAATTTAAACCATTAATGTTATTTTCTCATAATTTATGCTTTACGATTTTTATTTCTTACTTTTCATTTAAATTAGTTACATAGTTAGTGCCTAAATAAGCCATTTTGGTACACAAATTTCCTTTTGCAACAAATATTATCACAAAAATCAGGGTGAAAAACATTTCATCTGATATTCGTAGTTAGACTGCATTATCTAAAACAAGACATTTAACAAGAAATTAAACAATCTGAGAAAAATAAACTGCAATATAAAAATTATACACATTTTCCATAGATTGACTTATGCTTGCTGTAATATCAACTCATGCAGAAAAATATTTATTCTATTTTAATGAGGGAGCAGGTATTACAACAGTCACAAAAAATAAAAAAAGTATGCATTTTGTTCTTTAGTTAACCCAAAGTGTGATCAAAAAATATATTTTATTTGTAATTAATGTTAAATATTTTCAAGAAAATTCAAATTTAAAAAATAATTCTAAATTTTTTTTTTAACAAGATGAGTACTTTCCTTCAAAATACAAGATACACAAAATATAGATTAAAAATTTAATAAATTAATTTCTTACTGCAACAAAGCTATCACAAAATCTTCAAATTACTTCAGTGTCCTGATCATAATTCATTTCAGCATCTAATTCTTCATCATCTTCTTCATTACTCTCACTTTCATCATCATCATTATCATCATCCTCTTCTTCATCATCANTAATTAGATTTTCAAACAAAACAAGGTAGCCTGGGACTCATCTCATATAGCCTCAAACTTCCAGTAAATATTATAATTCTATCTTGAATAGTTTTCTTACAAAATAGATGTTTGCATTTTTTGATCAGGAATTACCCCAGATCACCCTAAAGCTGAAAAATGAAATTTAATTACAGAAGGCTTAAAAATTATTTCTTGCAATCTTGTGCTCCGGGGAAAAGAAGTTAAAGTGGTAAAGGAAAATTGATTTTACATATTGTAAATAAAGTGCCCGAGAGTTTTTTTTTTATTTATTTATTTTTTTAATTAATAAAATGAATTTTAACCAAAATTCAGGTTTTATTTTCAAATAAAAAAGAAACTGGATACAATCTTTTGTTTTCTGCTCAAATCTTCTGAACGTTTTTTTGCTTTTGATGTTTTTATTCTGATTATTGTTTGCTTTATAGGACATAAGATTGAGCAAATTCCTGAAGTTCCCTTAGTTGTGAATGATAAAGTTCAAGAATATACTAAAACCAAGCAAGCTGTTCAGTTTTTACGAAAAATCAAGGCCTGGGCTGATATTCAAAAAGTAAAGTTTTTTTTTTTTTAAAAAGAATTTAAGAAAAAAGACCTAGCTTGTTTTATATGTAAGCACAAATCTTTGTCTGCTGTAGCTATTATGTGCTCTTCTAGATGACAAACTTGTGCTATAAAAAAATCACTCTGAACCATGGTCAGACTTTATTTTAATAGTCTTGCACACTGATTGAGTTGGAACAGAAATTTTACTTATTACTAAGTATTATATTTTTTTGTTTAATAGCCTATATTGGTTATATTTTTTAAGTCATTCATATCTGCAATTATTGACAAGTGATGATTGCTTAATATCAGTGTTAGAATTATTTTTAGGTTTGATTTCAAAAATGGTATATGTTATGTTTTATTTTTGTATAATTCATAGCTATCTACTCTATTTATCTACATTAGAAACATTCTTATGATTGAGAAGTAATCAGTAATTTCTTTTCTATGTATTTGTTTACTCTAATACTAAAGGAAGATTTGAACTGAGAAATATTAGAAAGTTATTGATTTAGGACTAATTTTTTGAAATTTCAGAATTGTTTTTATTTCCTTAAAATATTTTGATAATGTTTTATATGCTGTTCAATATTTTACAACTATTTTATACTAATGTAAAATCAGGCTATTGCTATTTAGAATTAAAATTATTGAGTAGTGTTGAATTATAAAAGTGTTGAATTGAAAATAGTGTTGAATTTTTTATTTTTTTTTTTAAATAACGGCAGGCACTGAACTTTTGTTCCTCGTCTTAGAAGATGACGGAAGTGTTGCTCATTTATCGTTGCCAGGGGTCTGTCTAGGTTTTTCTGACAGGTACCTATTTTGTGAAAATTTAGACGTAATTTGTGAAAAATTAAAAATTATATTAAGAAATCAACACAAANTTGAATTTTTTTTTTTTTTTTTTAAATAACGGCAGGCACTGAACTTTCGTTCCTCGTCTTAGAAGATGACGGAAGTGTTGCTCATTTATCGTTGCCCAGTGGACACCTGTGAAACAAAGTCACGGAGGCAAGCAACCTTACCCACATTACACTGCCACAAAAACCAGTTCGTAGGGTGGGCCACATTCACACATCAGAATACAAGAGAGAGAGAGACATCCATGCCCAGAGCAGGATTTGAACCCTCTGCCATTGGCTTTGCAGTCAGGCACGCTAATCACTCGGCCGCCTGGCCGACTTTTAAAAAAATGTGTCCTCTAAGATTCAAATCTTGCAATGCTCTTTTATGTTTCATAATAATCGTTGTCTGGCGATGATTTCCTTGCAAATTGAGCTTGTCTTAGAGATTACCTAGATGCTCTATATTTATATAGAGACCCCCCCAAAAAATTAAAAATCACTTGGAAATCCATAGCAATAACTTAAAAATTGGATTCAGAAAATTGGACTGTAAAATCAATTTTATAAAATGCATCAAAGTCCCTTTTCTAATACGATTAAAATTCTCTACAAAACAATGCAGCATTAAATAAAGAGATTTTAAAAAGCTGTATGAATATCTGTGGCTATAACTAACATTGAGATGAGTAAAACATATGTTTAAGGTTTAAGTGTAAATTTTTGATAAACTAGTGCATTAATAAAAATAATGTGGATTGTAGAGATTTTAGTGTCAAAGACCAGATTAGTTTTGATATTCTATTCTTCATTGTTGATGTTTCACTTCTCCAAGATTGTCAGCTAAGTACTGGTTTAAGTGCTTTGTGTTAACTCTTTTGGTAAATAATGTTATCATCTGAAACTTAGTTTTTAAGTTGTCAGTAGTAACGAGCTCCTGATAATAGATCTTGGTTTATGTACCATTTTCATATTTTAAGAGCAAACAAAAAAAACTTTTCATTAGTCTTAATATTTTTTGGGGTTATTCATTATTTATGAATAGTGTTTGTATTTAGTTTTGCCCTTCCTCTCCCTTGGTTCAAGGTAAAATCCATAAGTCTTGGCAAGTTTTTTTTTTTTTTTTTTTTTTTTTTTTTTTTTTTTTTTAAATTTTAGGGTGGGTTGATTAGATGAAACTAAATATCCTTCCCAACAGGTTTACCTCTGTGCTTCTTTAGTTTAATTTGAGTTTTATTCAATCTCCATAGTTCTAAGAACACGCATTATGATTGGATATCAAACTAATCTGGCTCTGAAGATTTTTAATTTATTGGCTTTTACTTTTTGCATTATTGAATTTCATTGGTAGACTTTTTGCTATTAGTGATCAGACATAATGCTAAATAAAAGCACTTCTGGGAAAGAAGAGAACTTCGCTCTTTCTACCTAAGAAGGTACAGTAATACATAGTCAGAGCTTTGCATTATTCAATAAGAATTGTATTGCAGGAGCACTATATTTGTACTGACTAAAATTTTTTAGGTTTGATAAATTTGTACTCAAGGCTTTGTTTTAGATAATGTAAATAATGTATTATAAATTAGGAGTGTTAGTTGCTAATACTAATAATAATAATTGTATGTGCTAATAATAATAATTTTATGTGGCTTTTCAATCACCAGAATAATTTTTAACATAATATGATATTGAATAATTTGCCACAAACAAGTACATTAATAATTCCATGTTCGACAATTTAACTTGCTTAGTAATCCAAGATTGTCAGCAGAGTACTGGCTTAAGTACTTTGTGTTAACTCTTTTGGTAAATAAAATTGTTGCCCAAGACTTTGTTTTAAAGTTAAAGGCAATAATAAGTTCTTGAGGGTTTAATTTGGATTTCATTCCATCTTCATAGTTTAAGAACGCACATTAGAATATCATTGGATATCAAGCTAATAAATTAATCTGACTCGTGGACTTTTTAATTAATTGTTTGGCTTTTATTTTTTGCATTATTGAATTTCATTAGTAGACTTTTTGCTATTAGTGATCAGACATAATGCTAAATAAACACTTCTGGGAATGAAGGGAGCTTAGCTCTCTCCTCCTAAGAAGGTACAGGAACACTTTTATTATGGAACAGAATTTTCTGTTATTTATAATGAAAATAGATTTTTATTCTTCTATATGTTGAATGAGTGTTTGTTTTGTGTTTATATAGTAATATTATTTTATTTATTTATTTTTTAAGGTTTACAATTCCAAGCGATTCAGAGCTTGAGAGCGCTTCAGGTTGAATGAGTGTTTGTTTTGTGTTTATATAGTAATATTATTTTATTTATTTATTTTTTTAAGGTTTACAATTCCAAGCGATTCAGAGCTGGCAAAGGTAAAATGAGAAACCGTAGAAGAATTCAAAGATTGGGACCTGTTATTGTTTATAGAAAAGATCAGGGTCTTACAAGGGCTTTTAGAAATATACCCGGTAAGACATCTATGACAAAAATCTTAATTCAAATGTCTTATTAATTCTAATTTTATTGCTAATTTTTTAATATAATTCACTAGTGTGGTTCGGGTTCATTATTTTTAAATCTGCTGTTTTTGTTTGTTTTTTTTTCTTTTTTGAGATTTGATATAAACTTTTTTAGTGCCATTTCATTTTTTTGTTAGCTTTCAATTTCATAATGACTTATTCTTCCTGTAAATTCATGTTACTTATTATCTTTAAAGGGAATCTATAAGTTTAATTGAGTAGCCTCACTGCTCAATATTTTACTATTGTTCTTACCTTTTCATACAATGTTAACTCTTAAATTTGTGTATTTCTAAAATTCCACAATAAAATAAGATTTTGGTAAAAGGATATGCATATTTTTTTATTTGCACAAATCTTTGTCTGCTCTAACTTTTATGTTATAGCAGGTGACAAACTTGTGCTAGATTATGATCACTCTGAACCATGGTCAGACTTAATATGGTCTTGCACACTGATTGAGTTGATACAGATTTATGTGAAATGTCATGTGTGTATAAATGTTATATGTCAGCTTAGAGTTTTTGCTTTTATGGGTAATTATATTTATTTTCTTCTTTAAAGGTATTGAAACTATCAATGTAGAGAAACTCAACCTTTTGCGCTTAGCTCCTGGTGGACACGTCGGTCGTTTTGTCATTTGGACTGAATCTGCTTTCCGTAGATTGGATGCTATTTATGGAACCTATAAGAAGAACTCAACCACTAAGAAGAATTACAAGTAATTCTTCCTTCAGTTTGTATATATTAAGTGTCTTATTTAGTGTCCTGTGTACTTATGTATTTTCTCTCTTCAGTTTACCCATGCACAAGATGACTAATGCTGATTTGGCCAGGATGCTTAAAAGTCAAGAAATTAGAAAGGCTATCAGACCACCAAAGTATGTAAAAGATGTTTGTTTTTGAAAATTTAAAAACAAATTGAATTTAACTAGATTATGGTGACCTTTTTAAAGTAATTTGTTTTCCTAAAGTAGAGATTAAGAAAATATTAATTAACTAAATCTTGTAATATTGTAGTGTTTGTTTTATGAATACCTTTTTTGGTATGAAAATTCTTCATTGTAAGTATGTAATAACATAGTAAGATAAAAACATAAAGCATCTGCTCGCACAATCCAAAAGTTTTTGATAAAGGAGCAATTTTTTTGAATATACTAAAACGGTTAACTATTTATTCTTGATCAAAAGTACTTTAAGTACATTTTAAGTTAAGAGATTAATTTTGCACCGAATGGAAGTTCATTAAAAGATTTCCTACTGTTTCCAATGGACTATTTTCATTGTAAAAAAACAGTGTAACTGTGGTGATGTTCAGATGAAAAGGAATAGTCGTATAGAAAACCATGTGTGCCCTTGCCTTTTTGTCTTGCTCCCACTAACCAAGCCCCCAAAGCCTACACAACTCTTATTGGCTGCTACCTTTTTGGCTGAATTTTTAAGGGCAGAAAAAAGGCAGGTGAAAACTTATGAAAGAGAAACTAAAACTTTAAAGTAGTTATAGCAGAGCAGTGCAGCAAATATAAAAGTAACAAAACATCATAAAAGCAATACCACATAGCTGTAGATGTAAAAAAATGATTGTAGTCTTGATCGCTAATCTTTGGTTGAGAGTAGCAGTTATCTTTTTTCTTTGGGAGAAGCTTACATACAGCTAAACCCTTACTTTTTCTACCCTTCAGAAATCATGATCACTTTTATATTACAGTAAATATTAAAGTATCTGCAAAATTAGAGAATGACCAAAGTTTGTTTTGGGAAGTTTTAATTGTCAAAGGAGCAAGTCCGATAATTAAACATTGTTTTTTGAAATTCAATAATATTGCTTGTTTTGAGGATACTAAAAATTAAAATGTGGATTTTTTTCTCCCCCTAGAGATTTGACAATTTATTAGCATATATTTATTTTATGCATTATATATTTTGTGTTAACCAATCTTTTATTCCATAATTTTCTTCAGCAATAAGGTTCAGCGCTACATCCTGAAGAAGAATCCATTGAAGAACATTAGAGTTATGCTGAAATTGAATCCATTTGCTGCGGTTATGAGACGAAAGACTTACCTCTATCAACAGCAGAAAAAGAAAGCTAAAGAAATTAAAGTGATGAAGAGAAGAGGAGTAAGTGTTCTGTTTTTTTTTTCTTTTCGTGTAGTGAATTGTTCGCGATTCTCAATTTCCACTGATTAAGCCGGCTGCATAGAATATTTATTTTTATGCAGTGTGCATAGATGTGGATACAGCAAATCTTTTTTGCTTGCTGCATATCTGTTATGTTAGCATCCAAAAAAGGACAATTGAAAATTTCTGTTAAGAAAGTGCAATTCAGCAGGTACATTCCATTCCCCTTCAAATTTATTCTGGTTCTTTCAGGTAAACCTTTAGTACATGAAGTTGCTAACATTATAATAAAGCTTTCAGAACATGAAAGTGTAAGCAAATTATTTTACATCCCCAGAGTGTGATCCTCTCTGTTTGTTGTTCGCGTTGCTCTGTTTCCATACTTGTAAATTTTAATGTTCCATGGATATGAAAGATAATTTTAAGGGTTTCTCCCTTAGTATAGCCTCTTCAAAGTACAGCTGGTTAGCATCCAATTAAAGTTCGAATTTCAATTTTTTTTTTTATGCAATTCTTGAATAGACTGTCCTATCTGTTAAGAATATGAAATAAGCTAAAATAATACTGCTATTTTTTTTTCTCACAAAAAGCTGTAAAAAAAACTAAATCATACCTGTTCCTATATCATGTATGCAAAATAACTAGTCTTAGAATTGTCAGTAACAGTGATCAGTCAACTATTGAGATTCGAATTGAATAATTCTGTCTATCACAAATTTGTAAAAATTACACATTTTAGTAAAACTGACATTTTTCCCGTCCTCATTCAGTATGTTGCTGCTCTCAAAATCTAATATTTAAGTTGATATAGCATTCATAAGGAATATCAAAATGAACTTAATTATTTTTCTTTTGCCTTATTTGTACATAATCTGGACCTGAAGATGACCCCTCGATAACAAAATAAATTGGTGACATGAAATATGTAAACCATTCGGTTTTTTTCCATCACTTTTTTTAAACATGTTAAATTATAAAAGTACATCAATGTAGGAAGGAGATACTTGGGAAAGCAGAATTTTCATTAAAATGTCAAATATCTCCATTCAAAATTGTGATCCTTCAGAGTACGTGAATTTATGGTGGAAACATTGATATAAAAGAATTCATTCACATATTTTTACATAAAGTCTATATATTTTACTAAATTTTGTTTTATATTTTTATTGTTGAACGAACTTTTTATAGCTTTAGATAATTTCTAATTTATTTTTTTATTTTAAAATATAATTTAATTCAAGCAACAAAAAATACAAAAAGGTTATTAAATAAAAAGGACCTATTGACATCAATCTACTTAGGTTTGAGGAAACAGTGTCTACTAATTCACTCTCACTGGCTGCTAACTGAAAATTAAAATTTTCAGATTTACAAAAACTACATCTTTTTTCATTTAGCATCAAGAATTAACAGTACTCGAGAAATCCAATTTTGTAGAGAAAAAACTATTTTAAAGGTGGTATAAATCTGTGGTATTTTTAATTAAAACATTTTTTTTTTTTCATACCTATCATTTTTTAAGGAAAGTTCATATGGTATTTAAATAGTTTCTATTACCGATTAAAAGCAATCCTTTGATTTAAAGTGAAGTATTGTACTTGTAACTTATGATTTATTGTTTGCTTTTTATCTTTATTTATTGGAAGTTACATGAATAATCCATCTGTGCTTTAATCTCCAGTTGTCTTTGTAAATTATATCTGCCTATGTTTCTCTAATATTTCTGGGCAATTTAACCAGTTGCTAATTTCTTATTTGCTGACTTTAAAAGCTTTTACCTCAGTTAAAAAAAAATAGCAGTTTTTATAAGTTTTACAAGCGTAATAGATAGTGTAACACTGATCAAAGTAAATGTAACCTACACTTATTTTTAATTCAAAAATTTGATTTTTTTTTTTAAATATGCATACTTATGTCTGCAAAAAATTGCTCTGACTGAATTTGTAGTATATATATTTCCTTTAAATTTAATTCAGATTGAAGTACCTGAAGAGAAGAAGAAAAAGAAGGGTGCAACTGCAGCAACTAAAAAAGCCAAGCCAGTTGCCAAAAAGGCAGCAGGAAAAGATACGAAGAAAGATGGAAAAGCCAAGGCTAAAAAATAAATTATGTAAAGAGCACTTCGGTTTTGATATTAAATATCGTTATTAATGAAAAGCTTTATGTATTTATTCTTAAAACAAATGGCATTGTAAACACAACTAATTTATTATAAATTCAATGCTCAAGCTCGAAATAGAGTTGATGTCTTCTAATAAACTAATCCAACTCTTAATATCCTGTAAATGTGTGCTACGGACCAGTTTTGTAGTCTTTTGCATTACGTTTAAACCAAAGCGATCTTCCGATTTTCAAAACTAAAAGGCATCTACATAGCTGCCAACCTCTAGTTAAAAATGCAGAAGATTCGCAACTGCATACTTATTACTAATAAATTTATTTTAAAAAATAGTCCCCTTTTTTTTAAAACGCGAAAAGGGGGAAAAAATAAAAAGAACTTGACCAGCTACTTGAGGGTACAATATTCATTTGTTCTTCTTGCTTGAGCTTGTCAGATATGTGGCACCTCTGCACAATATTCATTTGTTAATTCTTGATTAAAGGAAAATATATCAAATTTTAAGATTTATATTACCATTAGTTTAATTACATTATAATAGTATGCCCTATATATGAACTCAATAGAAATTATGGAAAAAGAATTACATCAAAAAAAATTTTTTTTTTGCAAAGAAGCTTTAGTAGCACCTTTTGCTTTTACAGGGGTCGCATTCCCCCTAAATCTAATAATATCACACAATAGTTTTTCTTAATAAAGTTTTGATTAAGAAGGTAAAAAATCCAAGTTGGTGTTAATTTATTTTTTCTCTTGATTTATTCTCACTTTTGTCTGTTCCTGAATTATGCACTTAATTTCTGATAGGTAATATGTAAAGTTGAAATTTCATTTTTACACTTTAGAGATTTCATTCTTGACTTAATAAATTTCAGAGCTTTATTTTGTGACTTGCAATTATTTATGATATGTGTGGATGAATTGTAATAATCTTCTGTTATGTAATAAACTACCGTGTGATCTGTTTTTATCCTAGCAAAATCATATATTACCCCTAAAATTTTTTGAAAAAAGTTCCTAAAATTTTAAAAAACTTTGCTGCTACCCCTGCTTTTACTAAACATCTTTCTAAAAGTCTCTTTCAAAACAGGTCTACCTTCTTTATTACACAAAATCGAATTCTTGATTCAACTCCGCTGAGAGTCCGTGGATGTAGGTACCAGAGTAAAAAATCGTTTTAAATGATCTCGTTAAAAGAATTTTTAGTTTTGTTTTACCTGATAGTATTTGATACAATTTTCTAAAGATAATCAGCACTTTTAAGGGCCTTTCAAATGCTATGTGTCCCGCATTGGACTGATCGTTAAGGCACGGTTCCCAGCAGATCACCGAAGTCAAGCATCACTGGCTACGGTCAGTGTGNTCCTTTTTATTTACGAATTAACATTTATTATATTTCACTGGCACTAAATTTAAAATATATTTTCCAGAAATAAATTATAATAAAAATAAAAAAATATCCAACATTTTTGTTTTGTTTTGCTGACCATTTGGCGCCCCTCTGTGAGTAGCGCCTGGGGCATGATGCCCCCCCTTGCTCCACCCTCGCTACGCCACTGGCTCTAGTGCGACGTAAATTAACTACAACAACAAATGCTATGTAAACATATTTTTGGCAATCTCCTGTCAGCCAATCACAAACTCCTACGATTATTAAATGTCATAATAAGTCTCCAGTTTTGTTGAATCACGGTTATTTTAATTTAAAAAAAAAAAAACATTGCTGTATTTGATTGCGTTGGCGAAATTATAAAACTGAATTTCTCTGTTTGTGGGGGGGGGGCATTATTCAATCAGCTATTCCCCTTGCAAATGCTTTGCCCCTCTACGGAAATCTATTTTTGAGGACAAATATTTTTTCTCTCCATTCAATAGCTGAAATAGTATTTTTGAAGCTGATTAGCTGAAATAATATTTTTGAAATACTTTTTAATTTAGTTTATAATAAGTATTTATATCGTTTTTACGATATATAATAATCGGTAGGTTATTGCTTCTTGACGAAATTTATTATGTTACGCAATCTGTCTGGATGTAAGAACATTATATTTTGTAGAAAACTGAAACCAAAAAAAACGGAAGCTAGGAAACTTCCTTTTCCTTCGGATGAGAAAGTTCAGGAAACGATGATAGAACAAGATGCATTCATTTTCCTGCAAATAACGTAAGAGATTAAAGAGAAGTTATAAATAAGAAAATTCACATTTTTGCAAAAGTCAACTTGACCTTAGGAAATTTTGATGCGCATCGAGCAAATATGTCCAAATTTTCTTAATGCAATGCCAATTTGAACTATTATCGCGCTTCTGAAACTAGATTACCAGATATGGTTCATTGTTGAACCGAATTTACTAAGATGGTAAATATCGCTGTGTGTGAAGTTTTTCAGTTTCACGTTAAATTGTTTTCTTTACGTGCAAAAGGATAAAATTAGGTTGCATTTATAGTTTTTGGCAAATAATTACAAAAATAAAGTAATAGAAAAAAAAATTTGGATATGTTTGGGCAAAAAACATTGTTATTACAAATTATACCTGAAAACTTCTTAATTCTCCTCTATATGTTTCCCCATTCTGTTTGAAAAATGAGAGTGATTTAAGGAACGAAGGAATTTCTTTGCAGGCAAATGAGGCATTATTTCTGGTGTATTTCTCTTGCGTAGTGGATGGGCCCGTTCCCAAAACGAACGAACCAATATCTTGGTAGTTAATTAGTTAACACCTTAAATTTTTTTGACTGTTTAATTTTGTTCTTTTTAATTATTATAAAAGTTAGAAAATGGTTTTTTATTACAAAAATAAAATTTTACATGCAATTACTACTGTATTTATAATTTTTACATACACATCTTATTCACATAGAGCAAATTAATCAAAATTTTGAAGCTAAATATAATATAACTAGTATAATGTAAAACACAACAATATGATTTTCAATGCATAAATTTTACATTTCTTTTTCCTTCCTCGACTGAAGTAGTAATCGGTGAAAAACTAGGACTACTAATGCCATCTATTAGAAAAATAGTGAATTAAGTATCCTAAAGTAGAAACGAATCAGCTCGGGCTTCACAAAATAGAAACGTTGATTTTTGTTCCTGCCTCAAGTCGGTTCGGGCATCACAAATACTGCACGCAGTAGTTGCCCTAACTGGATTCGTGCGACAGGGGATTAAAAGGGTTTTATGTATAAATTTGTAACTATGCCCATTTACACATCTGACAAAGCTATCTAAACAAGTGAGACTCTTGTTTCATTTATAGATATATATATTTTTGCGTTGAATCTAGTAAGATTTTGCACGAATAATAAAAACGAATTGTTCGAAAGATGCGAGCGGTTTTTTTTAACTAGGTGTTCTATTGACTTGTATAATCTCACTTTCAGCGTAAAATAATTCATAGGAAACAACACCTCAACTTAATTAGATAGTTATGTCAGATGCGTAAACGGGTACAAAAATGTACCTTTTGTACATAAACTGTTTATACCTTCTAAAATATTAGTCCGATTGCGATTATCTCGGGATTGGTCCCATTTGATTCCGTGTGAAAAAATACACCGGGTGCATTTTTTCAATTGCCTATTTAAAAAAAGAAATCAATTTTTTAAGGCACCACCATTTTCCTCAAAAAAGGGGACAATTTCAGGTATCATTTATAATAACGTAAGTTTTTTTTTTTTATAAAAATTATCTTGGAGTACTTAACCTTTCAAAGAAATAATCTAATTTTACTGGAGTGTAAGTCATGATTTTGACTGCCATGTATATTGTTGAATAAATTAAATCAAATATCAGTGCGGAGTGCCGCAAAAGAAATTTACGCCATCCATTTTACGAGGTGTTCCGCAATCACCACCCTTATTATACATTTTTAGAATACTTGTTTAAGATATAGTTAAAGCATACGCTTTAGGGATCGCAAATTATGTAGAAGGGATTAAAAAAAACTTCCTAATCAACTAGTTTATCGGTGAAAGGGAAAGCGTTATTATAATCATACCTATGTAATTGGATTCTTGCAAGTGATATCGTGGCATTTGTCGGTTTAGCACGAAATTTCTATTATTAATTGGTGTGAAAATAGCATACACTTTCGTTAGCTTGTCCATGCATAAAAAAATATTATTTCCAATTAAATCATCGTTTCGAAGAAATAAGAAAAGACAAGAACTGTAAATTTATCATAAAGTACAACTTAAATGCACCAAATAGTATTTTTTACCAATTTTACTCCAGCTAGTTTTTTTTGTTTTTTATTTACCAATTCTAGGTGGGTAGGTTAGACTTTAAAATTTTCCTTTTATCGTCCCAGAGGTGTTTGGGTGATCGAGGCTAACTCTTCGATTAGAGTATTATATTAGATGCCCTGAAAGAAAAAGTCAATTAAACTGGAAAAATCTATAATTCCATAGTTTAAATTTCTGTCTATGTAAGGGTAAATTATTCTAACATAAAGGGGAAAAAAATATTATTTCTATGAAAATAGTCATAGCTTTTTTTTTCTTATTGCAAAAATTATTAAGTTGCAATGATTTTAGAGCTTCGTTATTAAATTTATCACAACTAAAAATTATGCATTTTGTTCTTCATGAAATATTTTGTTTGAGATAAACATTTATCCGATAAAAAATTTGGTTTTATTAAAAAAAAGGCTATAAATGTAAAGTTTTGGTATCCTTAGTCATCTGGTTGTTTGCCTTCTTTTCCCTAAATACCTAGAGCTGTAGCCCCTTTAACTGATGATTTTTTTCTTTCCTCCTGACGAACCATCTTTTCCGGTATACTTTAACTTCAAATTATTTACTAGTTAGATTATATTTCGAAAAAAGTTGAATAGTTTAGAAAAGTCCATTAGGAGTAAAAAAATAATCGTTTATTTATTTTTACGATTTTAATATTCATTGTAACATTTTGATGTTTCTCCAAATCATAGTGTTAAAAACCTCACCCAAAATGTTTATACTTTGTCAATATTTTTAAATTCACTCGAACCCTTATCTTAAAAGCCTTATGCCTTTTTTTAAAGGGACTATTCCATTTTCAAAGTAACGGTGAAAGTAGTCTTAAAGAGAAAAATATTTTCCTTTAAAAAGTAGAATGATGAAACTATAACTAGTTTTGCTCTTAATCGGTTAAATATTTATTTCATTCTTAAATTTTAATTTCTTTTACATTATTAGTATAGTATTTTATACATTTATTATTCTTTGCTTAACGTTCTAAAATTAAACATTTTGAGCACCTTAATCTTTGAGCATTCTTTCAAGCGATTAAATCTGATTGCCGCTTTAAGTTTCGGAAAGGGGGATGGGGAAATAAAGATTCACTCTTTCATTCTCAGTGGAAATACCGATCTTAATCAAAGTAAAAATCTATACCCAAATACAAACATGGAACGATAATAAACAATTTACGCCGAGGCTTAAAATAATTTCAAGAAACGAACATGCAAGTCGACGAATGCAAATTGCTTTTAAAACTCAAAACCGCAATTAATTATGTCCTTGTTTTTTTTGATAATCATTGCTTTTAAGAAAATGAGTCAGACGATAAATTTCACACATCTGGCATGCTTGCGAGTCAATGATTGACATTTTCCAGTTCCTGTTATGATTAGTGTGTCCATTAAATGAAGTTCAAAACGTCATCTTATATATTTGTTATTATTTTTTCTCTCCTCCCGTTGTTGCTATTAATTTGAAAAATTAATTTATTACTCATTTGTTTCTTGAAAATGTGAATCAAATTCATTGGATAATCTTTTCATGAATTTGTTTTATAATTTTTATTTGCTGCATTAAAGGTAATGATTTTTTTTTTTAATTTTACACTCAATTTAATATGATATTTATATTCTGTATCAAAATATTGTAATTACATAATACATATTAATAAGAATTTTAATAATATGTAGTAATAATTTAAATTAAAATCTATTAATATGCATGTTTTTCTTAAAAAAAATAATTTATTAATTCTATTAATCAGATATAGTAGTCATCAATTGCGTTATTTTTCATTGGTGTAACATCTTTTTTTTAGGCAATTGATAACTCAACCAACTAACTTAATTTCTTAACAATTCTTCTGTAATTCCTAATTATAAGTAAGAAAATAAAAGAAATTTCATAAATAGCTATAAAATCTTTTCTAAATGAAAGAAAAAGTTGTTAATCTCTGATCGGGAAATTTGATGTATTGCACTTAGATTATATTAAAAGAAAATAGTTGTTATTAATTCAATGTTTCTATTGTAGACAAATTATTTTCTCTTAAAAAACTGTAACAATTTAAATAGTCTAAAAAATGCACCCATCAGGGACATTTTGTACATAAATACGCAATTTTTTTATGCTCAATTTTTTAGAACAATTTTCCAAACTTGGTGTTTTTTTCTTCTTTTTGCTAACTAAGTTTATGTTTGAGTGTTGTACCATACAGTGTGTGTAATATTGCTGCGTTACCCAGCTGATAAATTCTGCTTATAGGTATAAATTCGCTGAAACGTTTCATAAATCGAAGTTTGCTAAATCAGTCAATCAGGAATCAATTAAAATAAAGTCGGGGGAGGGGGGTAATGTAACTACGAATGTAACTACGACACGTTCTTTTCTAATTAATTTTTTTAAACTTTTGACTATCGAAGTCCTTAGTTATCTTTTGCAATTATATTTGTTTATAGTTACTTATAACCAATACTATATTTTTTTCGGTCTGTTACTGAAAATACATGCAAATAGATTATATTTAGTTTTTATTTATCTAAAATGCTTACCTTCATAAATAATTTTTAGAAACGCCTTTCTATTGCTAAAAACTGACGTATTAAATTAAAATTTGTCAAATATACTATACAATTATGGCACAATATTTCATTAAAAAAGTTATATAGTGAACAAAAAAAAACAAGCATAACTTAAATAGATAGCTTGAATAAGTTTTGCTTTAATACTAATTGAATTTTCACTCTCTGAACTGCAATTTAATAGATCGAAGGGTTACTCTCAAATTAACAAATTAATTGCTTCTTACTGTCACTTAAGTTACGATTCAGATACAAACGAGACAGATATAGATTTTCGACAAATTGTATTTTTAATCCTATACAAAAAACCAAAATTGCGGGGTACCTTACCTAAAATTGTCTATAAAATTAGGGGGAGGGTTAGTAGCTTCAGTCTGGACAATTTATGGATTTAAACAGGAAAGCAATCGCAAGTTTAGACCGCATTATGCACTTTTTGCGTATTTCTCCGTTTCGGGAATTTTTTATAGTAATCGAAAAAAATCTGCACAGGATTAAAGTAGTTAGTAGCTTAACTCCATAAAATTAATAACTTTTATTGCTAATTTATTATTTCTTTTTATTATTTAATAATAATCGAAATAATTTTGAATTGAAGCGTGGTTTACAAATTTATGCGTGTTTTAAAATTATGTAATTTTAAATAACAAGGTATGTGATTATAGCAAAATTGGTTTAATAATTCCTGAAAAATAAAAAATTTAAATTGCGACTTTTCTTTTAATATTGCGTACTCATAAACACAGCATTCATTAAATGAGGATTTTTATTATTCTTAGATAAATTGTGAATTTAACGTATTTTTAAATAAAATATTACTTTGATGCTGAAACAAAGTGTGATAAATTTCTAATTACAACATTCTCTTTTGTAGTAACAATAAAATGCTTTGCATTATTTAAATTTTATTGAGCCTATTTTTACCTGTTTCAAGTTATAATGAACTAGGATTTTACGAGTGTGAATATTTCCTTCAATCTTATGAATAGGAGATAGTCATACTGTAGCTTATAATTAATTGCCTTTGTGAGCATATAATTTAGAAGACAGCTGATCAAATAAGACATAACAAGAACCACGCCAAATTAAAACAAAAAATATGTATTCCTGTCAAGCCGCAAGGCTGCTTCAGAATTTAACGAGTTCCTAACACAATGCTCGTCAAAATCTCTTCATCAATGTTTCTTTTTCTATCATTTATTTAAGAATTCTAAGAAGATAACAAGTCGTTAAAGTGTGGTTAACGGAAATTAATGTTTGTAGTATAAAGCGTACGTGCTGAAGAAACCCAGAGGCAAAGGGTATGCAAGATGACGCGTTCTTTTTCATCTTGTAAAGCGTAGGAGTTGGGGATGAAAAAAAATCTTTTCTTGCCACTGAGACATAGCTAAAAAAACGTTCTAAGAATATTATCATTCAGTTTGTCGCACTGAACGAAGTGATTGATGCTTCTATCCTGTTTTTTTTTTTTTTTTTTTTTTTTTTTTTTTTTTTTTTTTTTTTTTTTTNTTTTTTTTTTTTTTAATGTAGCTTTGAAGCTTGCGATGTGAAAAAATTCATTTTATTCCAAAATTTCTCATTGTTCTGTTTGGCTATGTATTGTGAACAATTTCTTATTATTTTTAAACGTTATCAGGTAAATATTAAATGATATTTTGATAGCTTAACTGTTTTAATAAATGCATGTCATAGATGATTGTTAAAATTATATATTCATTTTATTACAAATATTATGGACGTTGAAGCATGTGTTATTGAAAGACCTATGCTTAACTTAAACATCATGAATGCGTCTTTAATTAAAAAGCAAAAATATTTATTAATAATCCAATTATTCTAAACAAAACATTCTTCTTTTAAAGTTATAAGATTATAATTTCACATTATACCGAGTACTTTCTTATAAGGCTATAGTGGTGAATTTAAATCATAAAATTAAATTTTGTTGTTAGATAATGTGGATATAACATTCATGCAAGATTGTGTAAGAGTAAGAGTATTGTAAGAGCTTCTTTCATTGAAAGATTACCCATAATACCTACAATTTTTTAAGATAGAAAAAAAAAATAATAACTACATTATTTCAGATGTTTTTTTTTAAAAAATATGTTTTATTTATTTAGATGTTTTCATCTTACGTTCCATTTTATTCTCTATTCCTTATGTTATTTTTTTTACCCATGTAACACAATTTTTCTCTCTTTCTGTATCCATTTTCATTTTAGATGCTAATCTTATGTTTTTTTTGTTTTTTTTTCACAAATAAACAAAACATTTACCAAGCCGCAACATTCGAAAAAGCAAAAATAACTATAATTTTTTTTCTTTTTCTGATGCTATAGGCTTATTAACTGCCCAAAATAATTAAACTTAACAATAAATTTTTCACATATTAAAAATACTAGAACTTTTCCATTTTATATTTTATTTTATGTCACATAAATCGGTACACTTGTGTTATACTAAATGAAGTGCGAAAAATCTTAAGAGCAAAAATAGAGAGAGTGCATAAAAGACAAATCTTAATTTTTAATAATCTTTACAAGAAAATTTTCTTCACCTACACTTCAGGTAGGGTCATATTCCTCGCTAACTCCACATAGTCGCCGGCTGGAGAAAGGAGGTTAAGAAGATGCCTTTGCACCCCTTTTAGTCCATTAAATTAAAAATTATATTTGAACTTTAAATGTTATTAGTTTTTTTACTTTAACTTATTACAGATTATGTGTGACTTCTTGAACTATTCCAATTCATAAACTGAGTGCAAAGTTTGAATTTTAATGCTTTACTAAATAATTTTTTTTAATTGGAAGATATGACCAGAAATATTTAATAATAAATTTGAAAAAAAAAAAAAAAAACTATTGACCACTAAAATTCCCTTCTTTCTTTTTGTGCTTTCAGTGCTGATTACTTAAATAAAATGTTAAAAAAAAATTAAGAAATTCAAATAAAGAGTGATTTTTTTATGTTTTAAGACATAAATGGTAGTAAAAATGCTAAATTTTTGTCAAAAAATGTAAGTTTAGTAGTTTTTGAGATTGAAACTATTGAAAAACTTTGAAATTATGGAAATAATTACCGAAAATTTTTGATGCTCATGCTAAAATATTTTTTTAGAAATATGGATAAATATTCATACGTGATTCTCGAAATTTTCTAATAAATTTTTTTTTCCATGTCTGCACCCTATGAGAAAATACTCTAAAATATACCACTTAGGAAATCATTTGTGTTGAAATATCGTTAAATAGAGAGCATATAAAATATAGTAAACACAAATAAATAAAGATTTCTTAATAGTAAACTGGAGTATTTCGTCTCTGCTTCAATCATATTCTTTATCTCCTGCTTCATTGATCGTTTGATTAATTTGCAATTTACTACAATAAGTCTTTTTTTTAAGCGTTTAACCTTTTAAAAAGTATTATTTTGTTACAATAGGCAACAAATTTGCCATCATAAGCCTTGTAATCTGTAATTCAATTAAGAAAACTGAGAAATATTACACAGGACAAACTAACATTCATAAAGAGATTTCTAAAAGAAGGATCTTTGCATATTGAGTTGAGATTGTCTTGTCTTTTTTTTCCTTTTAAAATTTGAAAGAAGGGGATCAATGTCGAAAATAGTTAGAATTTTTATAATTGACTCAAAGTATTTTCTTCTTCTTTTTAACATTAATGAGCTTATTCAGTTACTGGACTAATTTGTATTGGAAAAAATAAATATTTGTTTTCTCTTAAGGCTATGAATTTGAAAGTTTTTTCTCTATATAGGTACTGATTGCAAATGTATGACAGAAGAAGATTCTTTCCCACATTGTTTTTGATATTACTACCTAACACATTGTTTGAAATTGTTGGTAAGTAACTTGAACTCACTCCATTAATTCTGTTTGATTGTTGAATGTTATATAAAATGGATAGGAACTTTCATGTACTAGATTCCCAGTTGAGGGAAAACAACTAGCTTAGCATTTTCGTTTGAGGTGATGATTTAATATTTGGCCATAAAAATTAGTTTGGCTTCAAAATAAGTTTCGAAATATAATTTATATGTCAAATATAATAAAAACATAACATTTTCGGATAAGTTTTCTTTTTCTTACGCTATATTAAAGATAGATTAGGGAAACCAGTAATGTATGAAATTAGGGTTATGATTTACTGGCGTGGTAAATACTAATAATTACCGTTTTTTAATTAATAATAGTTGAAAATTAAAGTAATAAAAAAAGCTAAAGGCAGAAATTTTAGTGTACTCTTACACTATTTTCCCCTTGATGGTATTTCATACAGTTTGTTTTATGTTTCTTTTAAATTTTTTTTCATTATTTTTTTTAAGGATAAGCACTATTGCTTTGCGTACATTAACCCGCTTTCTTCTTCTTCTTCTTTTTTTTTTGCAGTGGATGGAATAAAATAAATAAATTGATATACTCTTCTAAAATCATCCAAAAATGTCAAAATATCCTAATAGCTATTTGCTTTTTTTGCTCCTCTCAAAAACGAATGTTAAGATTTCCTTTTAATGTGAAGTTTATAATAAATATAATAAATCGTGCCTGGAATGAAATAAATTAATTGATATACTCTTAAAATTGTAAAACTATTCTGATAGCATTTATAATTTTTAATAAATGATTTTTATAGTGCTTAACTGCTTGCTTAGATGTTAAAAAAATAAACAAACCAATTACATAAACAAATAAATTGAATAAGTAGAAAATAATAATAAACAAATACATAAAATAAAAAAAAAATTGCTACCTTTCTTAAAAGTTCACAAAATTTCCACGAGATAGCGCTTTCGTTCTTAATAGTTAAAATTTAGGTTTTAAGTAATTGAGTGTGAATTCAGTTGCTTTCAACAGAAATAAGAAAGCGGATACCTTCAAATCAAAATAAACTTAAAAATCTCTTGTTCTCTTAAATTTTTCTTTTCGTATTATCTATTGTTTCTTTATAATACAAAGAGTACACCAATGGGAAAATTTAGACCTTTAAATGTAAGAATTCTTTCTAGGATAACACATAATTCAGGCTTATATTATCATTTTAGCCTTATAAATCTTAACTTTTAGACTGGGACTTAGGTTGATTATTACTTAAGTTATAGATCATACTTTATGATAGTATTAATGACAACAGGTCTCAGAAGTCTGAAAATCAATGTGAAATTTTACTCTTAAATTAAATTTTATTTACTTTTTGAGAAGATTTCCGTATTGTGATCTGCTGCAGAATAATCGCCAAGTCTTGGCAACTTCTGGGCAGCGGACCGCATTTCTTTTTTGAAATAACAATTTTTACAATCGCCTAGGTTCTAAATAGATTTACTTTCAAAAGTTTCTTAAAAAAAAAGAAAAAAAAGAGCATGTAAATGTTTGCTCGAGGATGGCTACTAGTTATACGTTTTGAGTTAGTCCTTTTCTGTGGTGTTTTTTTTCTTCTCCGGGCCTCTGCCCGGAAGTTGCTAAGACTTGGCGATTATTATTCTGTCACAGTTCAATACAGAAGTCTCCCCTGAGTCTTAACTTTTAGACTGGGACTGAAGTCGTTTGTTACTTCTTTAGTAGTGTGGAATGCTTTATAATAATATTTAAAACAATATGGTCTCAAAAGTATGTAAAATTTTACATTTGAATTGAGTTTTATCAATTTTTTAAAATCATAATATTTTTTTTTCTGTATATTTATTGTTGAAAACTTAGAACTTGTTATAGTTACGTAGATTTGAAAAGCTATTGCATAAAGCGTTAATTTCAGCAAGTTTTGCACAATGAATTTCAACTATATTTCTTAAAATTTGTTTTTACTTTTTCCAAAATTCTTTTGTGAACACCCATTTTGTCCTGTGTTTAAAAAAATAGAAAATAAAGTTGGCTTTCTACTTTTTTGGTTTCTAAACATTACCCATAAGACTGTTGTATACTATATAAAATATGTATGACATATAGTATATTTTTTGCTAGAGAAGATATAGTTTGTTATATTTAATAATTTATTATTTTGATTAGTAGCAGAACAAGATATGGTATGTAGCAATAATATGGTTCTGCAATTTGTAAAGAATTGTAATTCTAATGTTCTTGTTGTTACTAATCTTCAGTGTCTGTGAATCCATTGACATGAATCAAATCAATAACCAGTAGGGGGGAAGAATAGATGTCTTTCCATAAAAGTCCGGAGCAGTCTAAGATGTGTTCAGGTGAAGTTCTCGTAATAGTGGCATTTAAGGCAAGGTGGGGTAGGTCTTTCTGCCCTCAAAATATAGTAGGCACTTAATGTGGCTGCTGGGGAGACGTGAGAAGCTGGTGTTGGTAATTCTAATTGTTAATTCTTCTTCTTCTTCTCATTGGCACGACAGCCCAGGATGGGCCTTGGCCTTCTCAACAAGCCTATGCCAAGACAAGCCTTCCCTTAGCCAAGGTTCTCCAGTTTATTATCCTTAAAATTTGTAGGTCCTTTTCAAGTCAGTCTAAAAATCTTAGGTTTGGTCGTCCTCTTTTTCTTGTACCTGTTGGCCTGGCACAGAAAACTTTTTGGGTTGTCCTGCTATCCTCCATTCTTATAATGTGTCCTGCCCATTTAATCCTTTGAATTTTGATAAATTTAATGACATCAGGTTCTTTATATGCTTTGTAAAGTTCCGTGTTTGATCTTCTAAACCAGGTACCGTTTTTACTTGTTATTGTTAAAAAAATTGTTAATTATAAATGCTAAAAATCTTCTTGGAACTTATATCAATAGAGTTATTATTATTTAAACATGACTGACATCCATTAAATTAGTATGTTTATTATTTTAAACTATTTTTTAAGGTGCTGCTGTTTCAGTTTGTAGTGATGTTCATGAAACTTGTAAATGCCATGACTCATATGAAAGATATAACTTGACAAATGGACAAACAGTTTGCTTTAAAGAGTTTGATGCTAAAACATGGGATGAAGCTAATATAGTTTGTGCCAAAGAACACTCATATCTTTTACATTCACTGTCTAATATTTCATCAACTTTGTTTACAACACTTGCAAATCAGAGTAAGTAGGTTACAGATTACCATAATTGTAACTTTTATGTCATGAATAAAGGAGCTGTCAAAAAATTTCCAAATCATTATTGATATCAGTAATAGATTTATGTTAATATTACACTTATTTAACATGAAACTCAAACTGTATCATTATAATTATGCATTTATTTCAATTGTACTTAACATAGAGTATTAAACCATAATATTAATCATTATATTTATTTGAAAATAAATATAGATGAGAACAATGTGTATTGGCTTGGAATTAAAAGACAAGAAGGATTTTATGTTGTGCATGATTTTGCACCAAGCTTATTTAAGTGAGTTTTGGAAAACCTTCATTTGATTTCTTTTTTATTTGTTAGAGTTACATAAATTGTAATGTATATATATACATATTTTTGTAATCAATTTTAAATAACGTGTGCTACTAATATATGTTAAAATATGTGAAATTCATTATATCATTAAAATGTTTTGCGATATCACATTTAAAAATCGAAAAGATTGAAGTTTTGCATTACAAATTATGCATATAAAAGAGCCTCCATTTTAAATAGTGAATTTCGACTTTTTTTCTAGTTTGCATCTGTTTTAATGGTTTTTATTTCAAAAATATGAGGTGAATTATTTAAATGATCACCTAAATTTATTGTTCATAACAAGGCTGTTGTACTTAAATTATTACATTTTATTCAAATGTATTGTATAATCATACTACATTGTACATAGGAAATATCAGCAATTAATTGGAAGTATCAACTGACCTGGATAAGCTCTATTGATGCTTTTCAATTAATTACTGATTTTTCCCCTATAATTAACACTGAATAGTCTGATGATTAGTATTTTTTTATTTTCAACTTAACCATTTTAAGTTTTAGGTCATGCTGAATCAATTTTATTTACTGTATACGATAGTATTAATTATATACTACATAATTTTATTTAGAATTTTTAAAATCACATTTGATAATTTTTTTTAAAAAACCTTTACTGTTTTGCTTTTCTCTCTCTATATTTCATTCATTGAATCTATTGTCACAATTGATCCCCTTAGTGTGTTATTTTTGCTTACAAACTGATACATTACTATTCCAGAGAATCAAACAGGTGGGGAGCAAGATGGAAATATGATGAACCTCAGCATGATTGTGTTGCTCTTGACATATCGCGGGGACATTTGCTTACATATGATTGTTCTATGGCATTGCCATTTATATGCTTAAACAATCTATTTCCATCTCAACCATTAAAAAGTAAGTTTGTTTAGATTTATATTTGTTGGCACTTTTTTCAAATTTTATTCTACTTTAAGTTATATTTTCTTTGACAGCGTTTTTTTTTTTTAAATCTCATTTCTCTAATTTAATACTTCATGGGTTATGTTCAACACTATTTTAAAGCATATGAAATTGCAATAATCAATGGGGAAAAAAAAACCCAAATTATCTGCTTATTGTAAGGGGAATTTTTGTGCATAATTTTAGCTGATTTAGTTTATCTGTTCTGGAACATGTTTAGAGACAAACAAATTTTAACTTTGCATTGATCTGAAACTGTGTATTAGTGTTTAATAAATTTATATCCATGTAATTTCTTAATATTGAAATGATCATTTTTTTGCTGCTTAAAGTCAATATTTTTGTTTTTAAGAAATTGACAAAAAATGTTTTTCTTCTTTTTCTTTCTTTGAAAATTCAGGATTGTAGTTTACATTAAATTAGCAAGAATTAAAAAATTAAAAAAAAACAAACAAATGCAAATTATTTGAAGCATGTAATTATGCAAGAAATTTCTTGTTTCATGTAGCAAATTATGTCCCATTTAAATTCAACTTTGGTTTAAAATCTTTGTGTTGTTCTACAACAATTGTAATCTGATGTTAGTTTCATAGAGGATTCTTGCATGATATGTACAATGTCTAGAATAAAAATATACAAATTTTGAATTAAAGGACCTATTTTCTTCAGAAAGTTATGAAATTTATTTAGAATAAACTGTTTACTGTAACCATTGGCCTTACATTACTGAAAATTCTTCCTAATTAAAATATTGTTTAATTTCTAATTTGAATTCTTTTAATTTCTAATTTGAATTTTGAGTTGTTCCAGGCTTCTTTTAAAATTTCTGGTTTTAACTGTCAATAAGAAACAATCAGTGTGATTTTTTAATCATTAAATAAAATGTGCTTAGATGGAACAAAAAAAAGTATATAACAAATTATATTGTTGTTAAATATGCTTGTGCTTCTTTAATTTTAGGTTTAGTATGTCCTGAAGATTATTTATTCAGCTATCAATTACCATTCCACATAAATAATTGTGTTCGTTACTTTGAAGCTGCTTCCTATAATAAAGCTCAGCAGTTATGTGAGGCAGATAATGGCTCTTTAGCATCCTTAGAAGTTTATCAAGTTTTCATTAACAATGAAAGCGATTGGAATTTCGAAGGTAAGTTTCACTAAAGAATGATGTATATATAATCTGAAGTATATATTTATATTTTATTATTTAAAGAGAAAAAGTTGGTTTATTAGAAGAAAATGGAAATCTATGAGTTTTTTTTGCTGATTTTTTTTTTTGTAATTGGAGAGGTATCTGATACTTATTTATAGCATCTATCATTATTTGTATAAAAATTGATCCTACACTCTATAAAGTTTGCAATTTGTTAGAATTAATCTTTTCATTTAGAACATAAGTTTTGCAAGTTTTTATTTTTATTTTATAAATTGGTAGTTTTAAACTTCTTAATTGCTTTACGGGTGCAAGCTGTATAAGTATGGAATTTTTTCCATAGACTTTGTGTTGAAGAAAACTTTTAGGAGAGACCATCAAAACCTCACCCAGGGACCGGGCAAACCTCTGCACCAAAAGTGGAAAAGATCAAATAAGGAAACATGAAAAATTATCAAAACAAAAACTATTAACAAACCAAATAAGTAGATGCAAATGTATTTAAAATATTGTGTGGGGCTTTTATTTAGAGTGCTCTTTTTGACAATCTCTCAAAAAAATTGACAAACTCATATTGCCGTCAAACTGCATTAAAGACGATGCTATCAATGATTTAAGGTGAAAGTTAAATTACTACATTTAGAAAAAAAAAGTAAAAAGAAACTAAGCATTTCAAGCAAACACACTTCTTAACTCACTTTTTAAACCTAATTTTTCTGACACAAAATTAAATGCAAACTTAAACAAAAAGCGTAATTGTTTTTTATTTAAAATAGTTCTATCAATTATAACTGGTAAATTTGTTTCTACTCATAATTAGGGGTTATTTTTATTGATGCTAAGTTTTATTCATCAATGAAGATGAATAAAAAATGTCCGAGGATATATCCAAAACTAATCAAGAAAATTTCAGAGCATAAAACTCTATAATAATATTTATTTGTGACTGTAATCCAAATCGCATATAGCAAGTAGTGAGAGGGATATGGTTGAAATTGTATTTAAAAACAAAGAGCAAGCAAAAATTATACATTTTTCTTCTTCTAATGGTTCATCTTGTTAATGTTGATTTGTAAAAAAAAATTCTTTTAATTTTTTCTACCCCCACTTTACGGTATCTCACTTCGTGTGTTTTTTAATGTTGTTCGATGGAAAGCGTAAAATAAGGATTCCACTGTACATGTAATGTTTTCATTCTTGTGACATTGATCTATGATAATTTATGATATGGTTTCTTTTATAACCATAGATTTCTGGTTAGAGAATGGAACGGCAATTTGTGTTAATCAGAATGATACCTGTGATACAATTGAACATCCTTTCATCTGTGTTCAAGGAACCAAGCATACTGGTAAGATTTTTATAGTGAAATTCATGCAAATGAAAACAACATTGTTTAAATATAATGGCAAAAATATTTTATTGAAAAATGCATAAATTTGTGAAAAAAAATACCTTGAGATTAACTTTACAAAGAAAAGATTCTGCTAACTAGATTTTATTATTAAAAGTGGAAAACTTTTTTTTTACATATTTTTGTAATATTGTATTTAGTTTTCTTTTTTTAAAATTACATTTATTTCTTTTAAATATATAAGTCTACAATTTTATGAAAAACATTTTTCAAAATTTAAACTACAATAAAGACTCATAATGAAATTAGTGTTCATTGGATAATTTTTTTAAAATTTTGGTTGCTTTTCAAATAATTGGATGTGCCAATATTAATATCTGTGAATAAAATTAATTCTAATCTAGTAAAATTTTTATAAATTTTTAATTAATTGCTTTTTAATAAAATTGAAAGTTTTTTAAAGACATTGAGGGTTAAGTTCTACATACCATTGTTGCAATCTATTGAGATATTATGCCTGTCTAATTTTTAAAATTCAGTAGAACTAAATATTATCTAATTAATCTAATATTATAACTGTCTAAACAATATAATATCATAACTGTTTAAACAATATTTTTCAACTATCTAAGTATTGTCGAAACTCCTACCATGCAGATCCTCAATTCTGTGGATCACACTAAGGAAATAAATAATAAGTGGTTAAGAAATTTTTAAGAATTTAAGTGATTGAAAGTTATTAACTAATTTGAACACTGCAGTAAACATCTCTCAATGAAATTAATGTTGTAAAAATTAGCACGAAATAGATATCTGGCTGGGAAATCTTTTTGATTTCTCTTCCAAAGAAATAATCTTTATTTGCAAACTATTCAGATTGAGTTCCATCTTGATTAATCTCATCACAATGTTGTATATACTGATTTCTATGAAAAGTTTTACTAAAAACATTTTAGCAAGAGCTCTGTTTTGTTAGAATTATCACTTGTAAGCGCACTTCATCCTTTCATCTGTTTTTTTTCTTTCTTGCTGATAAACAAGTTTTTCTCTTTGTTATTCTTAAAGTTGTGTATTAAGGAGAAAGTCTATGCAAATTTTCTCCACAAATGCACAAAGATAAATTTAAGAGACATAGAATTTCTAAGTAATCCTTTTTAAGTCACCATAGAAATTACAGTTATAAAAAAAGGTGGCTTCTGTAGTACTGTTCTCTCTGCATTGTGAAATTTGTTGATCTTTTTTTTTTTAAATTATCATTTTATTTTTTTTTATTTCTCTAATGCAGATAATTAAAAAAAAAATAAATGTATCAAGTTATAAAAATGTCAGCTTTTACTACTGATTTTAGAAGTAGAATAAATTTTTTCTTTACAGATGCTGTTGCTCTCATACATCCTGACATTCCAGAATCATTCCCTAGCAGCGATGTGGATAATAGCATTTTGACCTGCGATGTTGTCATTAGTGGTAGAAATATCACTGATAAAGAAAATCTTGTTTCTTACCAATGGTACAAAAATGGATTGCCAATCAACATACAGAAACGTATGATAGATTTGCGGTACTATGCTGATTTGATAAAAACAAGTTCTTCCCCGATCATTCGACAAGGTGTTTATCACTGTGAGATAAAACTTCTTGGCTCTTCCGATATAGTTAAATCAGAAGTCACTAATTATTTCTACTCAGGTATGACCTGATTATTACATTATAGATACGATTGTGTATTGTTATATATATATGTATTTTTTGTAGAGAATTACAGTTGTAAGTCAGTGTTAGTAAAAGGGAAACTTTTAACCAACCACAACTCTTTATAACAGTATTTTAAACAGTAACAATTAAGATATCCTATGTTTACTTTTTAAAGCATTTTACATACACTAGGTGTCCTCACATTTGTTAGATGTTGAATAAATAACAAATCATATGCAAAATCAATTAAAAAAATATAAGTTAATAAAATGGTATCTTTTATTGTATTCTACTTAGGAAACAAGAATTTATTCTCTTTAAAATTAATTACAAAGTTTATCTATAGATGACATTGCTATATCATTTGTAGATAATGATTTCTATGATGAGGCCCGCTATAAAACAATTTTTTCGAACAACTACCCTTTGTATTCACAAAGTTGTACAGTCTGAGGACAAAACTAACAATCACCCAAACAAATATCTTAGTGAAAATGGTTTGATAAATGACAATTTATAATTTTTTGATCAGCAGTGCAATCTGTTAATAAACTTTGTTATTAACTTTGAGATTTGATATGAATAAATTTTTCTGATTTTCTATTCTGAATCCAGTGAATCGTATAATTCTGAAACTTTCCATTTTTCTTTTATGAATTTTTTAAAATTTCGCTAATTTCAAAAATACATGGTACATCAATTATCTTTATTGAATTAAACTGATCAGCGTCTTCTGTAACTATGATACACAAAGTAAGATTTTTTTCTTATTATGCATGCAATTTTTTAAAATTTCTTACAGAAAGTCTAAACAACTATATTATTTCAGTATGAAGCTTTTAAACATGGTTTTATTTATCAGTTTAGCAAGAGAGCATGCTGCTCATTTTAATTGTTTAATTTTTATAAATTAAACTCACAGTTTTTACATATTAAATTTGCAGTTATTAATACATCAATCAGTGTTGTTGTTTATTCAGACAAGCCTCTGATACACTAATTAGTTCTATAAATCATTACAAAGGGTTTTTATCATATCTTGCAAATCATATAAATAATTTTTTTCACATCTGGAAATTAGTAACATACTAGATATATGATACATCAAATAGATATTCACAATGATTCATTTGATTAATCATAACTTTTTACCTTCTTTTATGTTTTAAATAATTTTTGCATACTGATTATAGCTTTTGTAATTAATGTCATGAATTTCAGATGTTTCGACTTATGTTATGACTGTGTATGGCATGAAAGCTGAAAAATATAGGGACTATTCTCAATTAGATTTCATAACAACAAAAGCTACATTTAAGAAATTTATGACATCTGTAACTGCAGACATAAAAAAGAAATTACCCAATTTTTTTTGGGAATTCCATAATATTAGGTGAGTTACATTGTTACTATATTCTGTATGAAATGTTGAGTTTTAATTTTAATGAGATTTCTTGTGATTAAATTACAGTAATTATATTTCTCTTCCATTATAATTTATAATCAATTTACTTAATAAACTTTAAGAAATTTTTTTAATTTTTTTATAATAAAAGTGTTAAAAAAATCCCAAGCAACTCAATCCTTTTTTTGGGTAATTTTAATGATTTGAGTGCATTAAATATTGTAGCCTTAAATATTTTAATTTGCTCTAACTATTAGTGAAGTTACTAATGCTAATTTCAGAAATTTTTATAAATTACTTATGTAAGAACTAATCTAAAATTAATCTCAAATTTTAATATATTATCAGTTATGAAGGTTAAATGATTTTGGTAACTGTGCATTCTGTAATATTTGAATGTTTATTAACATTAAATAAGACTATTTTAAATAATCTATTATATTTCCCAGTTTTCAATTGTCATAATATTTCAAAATTTTTCTTTTCTAAAAATATAGTTTGGTTCACAATTTGATGGAAATAAAATTTATACTGTATGTGAATCGAAGCATTGCTTTATCTGAAAATTCATTAAGTGAGAAGGACATTTATGACTCGTTGATTTCATCTAGAGATAGAATAAAACATTCCACGAAAGAATGGAAAGATGTTTCTCTTACAATCAAGAATGCAGGTATTATTTGCTTGCTAAATTTGTTACAAAATTTTTATGGCATAATATTTTAGCAATATTATTATGAGTATGCATTCTAGAGTAAAAGCTGTGATTTATAGCATAAAATATGTACCCATTGCAAAGGCCACTAATTAATTGTTATATATTTTTACTCTAGTTTGCTTATTCTTTATTTTGTGTTAAAATTATGGCACAAATTTTTTTAGTTAAATATATTTAGTTTCTCTTATAATTTAGTTAAATTTAACTATGAGTGTCTTTGTTTCTAAATACATTTTTGCATCTTATTAAATATTTCTGTTGTATACAGGTTATTTTTTTCATTTTATTTATCTGTTTTTATTTTGTATCCCCTAATTTAAAATTATTTTGTTAGTTTTAAGTTTTACTTATAAAACCAGAAGCCTGTTGCAATCGATAGATTTTTATGAATAAACTATTTTTCACTTTTTAAAAATTGACTGTAATTGATTGTAATTAAAAATTACTGTTTGTGTGTAGAAATGAGTCCACCTAATTGATTGAATGAAGGATAGGGAAAATCCATATTGGGTGATTAATTCTTACCCAACATTCTCAATTTTTAAAATCTAAGATCTGTTAACTAATACAAAAAATAGCAGTATTTTCCCTTGCTCTCATTATATTCACCACTTCTATTTCAAAAGTTGCAAAATGAAAAACATGAAATATGATTTTGAATTGAAAATCTCATAAATTTTGCTTTAATAACTTTATTTTAATAATAACATTTAAAGGTATTATTTTATTTTTGTTTTGAACTTTGATCTATTATTATTAGACATTGATTCATAATAAAATTTTTTAATCTTCTATGATATTTAACAATTATCTCTATAATATCAAAACTAGACAACTACATTATAATTTACAATTTAATGTTAAGCTTTATTTATTATTTTTTGTATCAATATAAATTCTCAATTTTTTAAGTTCATCATTTAGAAATATAGTTTCAAAATTGTATCAGAACAATTTTTTCCAAACAAACTTTTTCAGTATTTTGTCACTACCATATTTTTTGCTATTTTGCCAGTACATTATTCTTTTTTAAACTCTTTGATAAATTCTGATCCAATGCACCTCCTTTTATTTGATTATATATATTTTTTTTCTGTGTCAGTTATTTCTTTGACATTGTTGTGAGCTCAACTTTTTTCCTTTAACTTTTGTGAAAATGCTATTTTGAAATTATTGAGTATAAACATTTTTAAAAAAAAAGTATTTTCAGTATTTCGTCACTACCGTATTTTTTTGCTATTTTGCCAGTACGTTATTCTTTTTTAAACTCTTTGATAAATTCTGATCCAAAGCACCTCCTTTTATTTTATTACATTTTTTTGTGTCAGTTATTTCTTTGACAGTTTTTCAAGCTCAACTTTTTTCCTGTAACTTTTGTGAAAATGCTATTTTAAAATTATTGAGTATAAACATTTTAAAAAAAGCAACACTGTTTCTTAGCTTCAAAATTCTTAGCTTTTATTTGAATTTTTTAAAAAAATTTCTGGAACTTGCTTTTTAAAAGAAAAGAAAAAAAAACAATCATAATTATTTTTTTTAGAAATGAGTTTAATATCTAGAAATAAGGAAGGTATTGTTGGTTGTTTTTGTTTAAGAAAATAAGCTTAAATTAGTGAATGGAATTCGTTTAATATTAAATTTCTGTCAAAAGTATACTTTTTTATAGCTGTTACATTTATAAATTTTATTTGTATTATTGTTTTTTTTAAAGGTTTTTCTGTATTTAAATTTCAGATTTTTGTTTTGAAGAAAATGTTATGAGTGCAGAGACAGGTTATGGGAAGGTTTTGAAATGGAAAGGAACCGTTCAAACCAAGCATGCAGTGTCTGAGCCATTATGTTTGAATGGTATTATGCATTGAAAAGTCATGTATAGATAAATAGTTATATGCTCAATAATATTCCTACAATGCACAAGAAATGAACTTTAATTTTAATCATTCAAATATAATTACTCCAAATATTTGAAGTAATATTTAAATATTTTATATTTGAAGTAAATATATATGTTATGAACAAAAGTAACATTTTGAAATTTTCATGCCACTTTGTTAAAATAAAATAATATCTTTTTTTTTCTGTGTGAAGCATTATTTACTTTTATATTAATTACATTTCATAGTTTTTTGTTTAATATTATATAAAGAAGTAATTCAATATATTTCTGTTATAGACTGGAAACTGCAAACTCGAGTGTGCAGACCTAGCCTTACCATAGGAGCTGATTGGTTACCTTTCAATTATTCCACCTGCACAAAATTTCAACATTCAATTGAAGGTAATTCAATAAATATGTATTTTTTGTTTTTCTCTTTATTTAGTGTTATTTAGAGTTACAGTTAAAACTATTTGATGTGGATGTAAATTGCCCTATGTAGTCTTTTATCTTTGTAATAGCTTTACATATTGAGCAAAAAATTAATCTGTTAAATTAATTAATCTGTTAATAAAAATCTGTTTTTAATTACTTTTTATTATTATTTGAATTTATGCTTGTTGAAAATAATTTCTGCTATTATTGAAATTTTTTAAAAACTTCATTGTGTTCTTTTAGTTCTACATAATGTAATGAGAAATAATTAAATAGCCTTGAGTGTATGTAGCCCATAAAGAGAGAAGGTTAAAATACTGTAGCACAAAATCGATTTACACTTTTAATTAAAATTTATTTCCTCTAGATGAATTGTTCATCACATGAGTCAAGCCCATTTAAATCAATAAGTATTTATTAAAATTTACATTCTTTAATATTCAACATCTCAATAGATTAGTTAGACTGAGGTGAACTCCTCACAAATCAGAGGCATAGAAGCTATCTTTCCTTTTTTTCCCTCTTCATTTTTTAGTACCATTTAATCGACTTACTTTTTAATGCAGTTTCCCCTTGGATCAATATAGCCGATGCTGGCTCTTGTTTCCTCAAAGTTTTATGGTTAAATAGGGTTAAAATTAAAAATATTGAAATATTTTTTTCAGTTTATAATTTTACTTTTCCTGTTTCTTTTTACTTATATTTACTCACAGTATTAACTTACTGACTAAACTTACTTAGTTAATCTTACTAAATAGCAAATCATCATTAAGAATAGTGCTCTTTCATAAATGGAGTCATAAATGGAGTCATAACTTAAATGAGCTTAAGTATTAAAATTCGTTAAATTTGATTTTTATGTTAGACATAAATTCTTCATAACAATCAAATACAATTCTGCTGTTAAATCAAAGTTTTCATAAATTTTGTCATCAGAATTAATTTTCGATAGCTATTTGATTTGATAAAAAAAACCGCCTTATCAGACTAAAAATTCAAAAATAAACTGAAGAAATTATGTTTTTTCCCCTTTCCATAATTCTTTTTAATATCTGTGTCCAATGTATTGTTTCAGCTGTCTGTTTTACTCTTTTTAACTGTACTATATTATTTTGATGTAATCTATTAAAATTTTAATTTTTTAGATGTAGAAATCAGTTGCTCTGGTGATTTTAAAACTTCAAATCAAGGAATGTGTTATAAATTGCATCATAGTTTGCAATCTTGGGATGAAGCTTTGGAAGCCTGCAGTAATGTTTCAAGTTATTTAATTGATTTTAATACCTTCAGAGAGATTGCTTCAGCATCTTCATTAGGTACCTTTTTTGTTGTTTTCTTTACTACAATTGAAAAGTTTAATGAAAGAAAAATCATATTAGATACATTCTGAATATACTTAATTTTTTAGGTTTATGTGCATAGCAATAATTTTTGCTAAGTTTTAAATAAGTTGGTTTTAATAGGAAAAATTTGTCTCTTAAGGCCGTAGGCACCTGAAAAAGGAAGTGAACTGTCTATGGGGAGGAAGAGTGGAGGAAACCTTAGCCCCTGGTGGTCAGTAAAACGGTTAAAACTCCTCAGAAATCTGGGAGGATTGAATCATTATAGTGAGGGTTTCGATTGGCCTGAGGGTCACACCCTCCATTCAAATCCGGTTTTTTTCTTTATATCTTTTCTAATACCTTTTACTGTTGGTGTTTTAGAATCATTTCAATATTGGCTTCCTGTAAAAATTTATCCTAACGAAACTTTATTTGTGGGTATGAATTCTGAAAATAAATGGTAACTCTTATTTTTTTCACTTTTTTGTTGCTTTTCATAAAATTTTATGTTGTGAATGTTCAAATAATAATACTTTGAAATATTTTTATTAAAGTATTTTGTAGTTAAAATAAAATTTTTTGTAAAATTAGCTTCAGAACTTTTTATATGGGGTATGAAGTACTTCAAAACTAATTTTGCTGTAGAGTGATTTTAAGATTTTAGACTTCTTTAAAGGGATCTGGAATAATAAAGATGACTTTGTGTCTCACAGATTTCTTATCCCTTTTTCTACTTTTTTAAATCTTATATTTCCCATTTATATAATGCTATTGTAGTCATTGAAAATTTATAAAATTTCAATGAATAATTTGATCTTAAGTTTCTTTGTTACTAGTTTACTACTAGTTTTTGTTATTGATGAACTAGTTTTTTTTAAAAATTCTTATGAATCATTTTAAATAAT